AGAGGGCAGGGACCTACCGCGGAGGCGTCTCCGACGAGGCAAGCTCAGGCTCTCGCTGCACATTGGCACACCCCGACCAGACTAATTCAATCCAGACGCAGGCGAACCATCGCGGCCAGGAAAAGCATACCGTCGCACCGACACAGTTTGTCATGATCGTGGGAACTTTAATGGTTGCCAAGGAGTTCCCGATGACGCAACTGCAAATCAAATTCTTGGAAAGGACACAGCTCACTTCACAATGTCTCTCCCTTTATCAAATTGCAAGCCTGCAATTTCGGTATTTCAGCTCAGCAAAGGACGCCTTTGTATATGTCTTTTAAAACATAATGGAATCTATGCAGAATGGTGCCTTAAAAAAAGAGAGACAGAGAGAGAAAAATGACGACTCAACCGCAGCAGTAAGTGAGCCTGCCATGAACAGAAACAGTCACTGTGTTTCAGTAAGCTCCACTGGAAACCGTCGATTGTGAATGATCTTTTGAAAAAGGGAACGTCCCGTGCATGCATCGAGAAAAAAATCAGTGGCATGCGGAGAGAATTCTTGAAACTTTTAGACCTTGTAGAAATAAGAAAAATGGGAAAGGGGACCAGAAGTCCCTACCCCGAAAAGAATCTTCAGCGAAGTCCCGAGCCACTGTGGGTCTTCAGGCATGTGAGTGTTTATTTGTATTAAAAGAAATGCACGTGTATCCAATTAAGAACGAAACGGCTGTACAAATCACTGTGAGAGGATGGGAGGTGAGTCCATCAAATGTTGCTCCCCAGCTAAAAGCTGGTACCCGTGTATAATTCTGTACGAAGAGAGGCGAGCAGGGGGTGAAGTGGCTTGGCAGCAAACAACGTCCAGCATCCCAACGGTAACAGTGGCGCACCTGTAGTTCCTAGTTGGGCATCTTTGTCGGGTGCCTAACTTCGAACTCACGGGCAAGTGTCTACAGTTACGTGCACTAGTTACATGCTGTTGAGTTAACACAACATCTGTGACCTGCTCTGTGACATGAAGTCATAAGTTGCCAGATGGACTTTCAAGTTCACAGGCTTTTATGAGAATCTTGGGCTTTGGAAATCACAAGGTACCGCCGATATTTGTCATCCACATTGGTGTCCATTATTCATCAGGATGTCGAAGTGAATATGAGACGTTCAAACAAAAAACTCGGCTTGCTCTTTTCGAAGCAAACTGAAACGATATTACTGGAAAAAAAGACCCCGTTATTGATACTAGAGCTGGCAACAGCTGGCACATTTCTGAAGCAACACCACCCATCAATTCGGGACACCTTCAACAAAAGAAATGAAACCAAGACAAGTTTTTCAACGAACCACTAGGTCAAAAATGCCGTGAGATATGCCCAGGAGTGTACACTTCTGTGAATTAAGCTTTTGCGAGAAAAGTTTAATTTGAATAAAATCTCGTATACTGAGTCGTTTAAATTGACGTGGACATTAGAAATTGAGTTCTCCATACTAAAGACACTGTTTGTATACCTCATGATTCAGGGCAAGCCTTTGCTTCGTTACATATGAGACACCTTGCATCAATACATTGTTCTCAATGGAAAAGAAAGGCACGAAGGAACCTGTCCATTCTGGAGATTGTGGTTGCTATGCAAAAGCTTATCCCGAATCAGGAGGTATAACAACAGTGTCTTTAGTCTGGGGAATTCAAATTGTTGTTTATGCGCAATCAGATAACGCAGTATACCAGATTCTATTCAAATATGACACGCAAAAGGCTAATTATAGGTTCCAAAGGTCCGAACAAGCACCTGCGGGACACTTTTTAATATTTTAACATTATCACTGCGACACCAATTCTAGAATTTGGGAACCCATTCAAATTAGCCGAGATTTCAAAAGCAGGGTAAGCGTAGAAGGCTAACTCTTTAACGACAATGCGTGAGCAAAGGTGTTCATTTTAAGACCGCAGTGCCGATAGAGGCTGTGCACGGCAGCCATCTTTAAGGTGCGTGCTTCTGTTCCACAGGGATACATATGAGCATTCTCGATTGAAATGAACGTTGCTTATTACACTTCCAGATCGAAAGATGGGACTGTAACCCCCGGCTTTAAGAGGGTCCCTAAATCGCGGCCTTTTGTGTACCGAAAACAAGTTCCGGTGTACATGGGGCTATTAAACTGATAAAAATGGTGGGCTTCGTAAACTCATGCACATGGCACAAGATTTGTAAGAACGCAGATAAAGCAGACTGCTGTTACCAGGCTCACTGTGTAACGCACACTGGATTGGCGTTCCCCGTACAAGCCTGTCACCTGGTATACCACATCAAGTCGTATAAACAAACATGCACTTCAAAATCCGATTTTCAGAATGCAAGCAAATATTGCAGTAAACTCTGAGATAAAAAGCGACACTCGAACTTGGACGACCACAGGGGTTGAATAGCGGACTTTGTTCGACGAATTACTCGTACATGCATGCTACATGCACTGAGTTATATGTACACAACTTGACTTTTCTTTTTAGGTTTTATTAAATTATCTGGTTTACATGCTGCATGTTATGGAAGGTTAAGATTAATGGCAGGCTTGTCTTTTTATCGCCGATTTCTTGTCCGACCTTTGAAATCTGGCGACATTTTTCCTGCGTGAGTATTGCTTTACAAGTGGCCAACATTGTTACTTTAACAGCCCTGCACGTTTTAAACTAAAAGCATTGGAACAATACGATGTTGGCACTGCCAGACAATCCTGGACACCATGTTGCCCCTAAACCATGTCGTGTACATATTTTCTGTCTGATCTTTGTTGTCAACAAGAAAAGATTTTCCCTGTTGCAACAAGAGAATTTTCGAAGCAACTAAAATACAAAGGTCTTGATGCTTTCCGATGATGTCAAAAGGAAAAAACCCGGGAAACGTTACCCCAGTTTTGCCGCGATCGCCTTAACCGAAAAAAAATCCCTAAAGCCCTCCGATCGGAAAACTGAAATGACACACAAGTTCTGTCGCTGCAGAGCAAGTTTAAATTAAGTTGTCGCCCGAAGGTCTGGGTATCAAAAGATATATCATTTGATCCAAACGGCAAAGATACGGGCGGAGTGCAAAAAGCTTGGACCATTTTGGCTGACGCATGCTTCGAGAAAGAAAGTCACTTTGGACACGCAAACTAAACCTTGTGTTTCGTGGGCGCTGGCAGTTGCATTCCTGTCCTTTGCGAACTGACAACTTTCCGAAAACTCTTCTGAAGTATCTGCATTCTACATCGTTGCATCGTTGCTAATCGTTGCTCTACACTGACTTCAGTTTTTATCAACAACACCCATTAGTGTTTTCTACCATCAAAAACAACAGTTCCTACCCCCATAACATGTGAATAATTGTGAAGTTGCTACTCGGAATCTCCAGTTTTGAAAGGATGTAGTAAATATCTACCGTGTTAATGTATGTACATCTTCCAGCAAAGTACCATCCAAAAGAGGAAAACTGGCTTCTTGCAACTGTAATTTTGATTAGCCAGAGAAAGGTGACCACCACCCATACCAACCTGGGGTATTTGTTTAACCACAACCGCAACCTCTTGTTCGCTGTCTAACGAGGATGGCTTCTCTGCCCAAGTTCTCTGTCTTCCAACTCGAACGAGAGTATCTGACGATAATAATCTTGAATGAACATGTAATCTGCCTCTGAAGCGATTCACGGTTGATAGTCGCCGACCAGAAACAGAGAGAAGAAAATTCCTGACATTTTCTGTTTATTTGTCAAGCAATTATACTCCGATTGAACTCTGCAAAATTTATTTCAAGAATATAACCCCGATTCACAGAGGCTACTTTGGTTATTTGGACCGCCTAATGAGCTACAGATTGGGCAAATATTGCCCCCGTCACAACATCCAAGACCATGGACGCCAGGATGGCATCAGAAAGGTATCTTAGGAAATCCAGCTTGTTTGGATGCGACTACATAATCCATTAATCTCGTGACGTGTGTATTCCCGTACTCACATTCTCTCCCCCAAAGCGACTTGCAAACTTCAAAATGCATGGACGAACATGAAACAAAAACACGCACCAGACGTTCCTGGGCTATCATTTCCGGCCTCACCCATATTTCATCGCTACTTAAAAAGCATCATATTCGGGCCGTCTGAAACTAAAGCCTTGTTAACAATCATTAGTGTGCGCGTGCACGCGACGATAGCCTACTTGAGGTCTAATTTCTGATATTTTTTCCAGCGGTGGAATATTTATCTTGTAATCTAATTGGCGATATTTAATGGATGCGTAACGATGGTTATTTCGGCCTCCTTAAAATAAGCAGTCGCGTCCTCATTAAAATGACAGAGTGAAGGTTGACAAAATGACATGTTGACATTTTAAGGAAAAGCTTAGCACTTGTTGTGCCAGGTATGTCTGAGCGATTTGATACGGGTGAAAAAACTGATATCACCCGGATAAAAACCGATTAGGGGAGAGCGCAGTTTTTTATGTACTTGTTGCGCTTCGCACGCTCTCGTCCCATAACATGTCCCACCATTCAACAGAATTATTTCATTGCTGGACTCCGATACCAAAACGTATGCTGGCGGCACTCAAATTGAACGTAGCTACCCATCATTAAAGAGCGGAGCATACTCCACAGCTGCACGATCTATTCAAAGGCACACTGTCACCCTATTTTCTGCACATTAGAAAGCACGTGCTGCGCAGGTATTAACGGCCTCCTTTCTCGCCGAGCATCGAGCCATTAATAGTGTGGATGCGTGCCCTGGCGTGCTGATTTACGATTTCAAATTCGCGTAGACAGGACATTTGTATCGACCAGAATGGTGGAGGGAAGCTATACACACCACAAGTGACATCTTATAAAAAAATCAGGTGAGTCAAACGCTGCACCTGGTATTCCAGGGGTTTTGTCTGGGGTATGTAGGATGAGCTAGGCATAGATTCTTCAAAGAAACTACACTAAAATGCCACTGCTCTCGAGTCGAGGGAGAGCGTGGTAAAATACGCGCAGCGGTAGAATTCTACTCACCGAAAGGGCGCCAAAACCTCCGGGCAATCTCGGGCTTGGGGCCTTTCACGGTAGTAACCGGAGAGAAACTACTTCCGGTGTTAACTCACACAGCTGAACAATCTCGGTGAAAAAACATCTATCCCATCAGCGGGCCGGCTCCTTTTCTCGTCTTTTTCCCCCTCTGGTAGCTGTCACCGTAAAAAGAATTTCAGCAAGAACGAAATCCTATACTGGCATCCGTCCTGGGCACCCTGTGATACCAGAGAAGGCGTCTTCGGTTGCGTGCCACGGAACCGATAGTCTACGGGTATAGTAGTAGATCGTCGTAGGGGCAGGCGCCCTGCACGTCATCCGACTTCACCGACGTCTGCCCGAACACTGCCGCCTTGACGCGAGCGAGAGAGGAAGACGCTGGAGGCTGCGTGAGCGTCTCTCGCTTTCACACGAGCCGTCCACTGCTAGGTGGACTCGTCCATTGGCGTGTGGGGCGCGAACAGAAGCCGGGCTGCAAATCGCCGGCATGGCAGATGACAGCGAATTGCGGAAGCCATGAGTACAAGACGAAACCCAACGGCCGACTAACACCATAATCTCAATTTAAGGGAGCTGTAATCGGATAAAAGCATACTATCGGGCGCTACCCGCGTTGGGAATCGACTCAACAAACAAGCAGATCGACCTTTGATCCCACTAAACAGTCTTTTTTCGGAGGGAATCAACAGGTATGCCCCTCGACTTTTTTGTTGACTGATCCCCACTCTATCTGCTTTTTACTGAGGCACGCAACCCCGTTCTCTACGTAGCCACGCCCTCTTCCTGTGTACATTACCTTGGCCATAGTTCACTTGTTGACAAACGGAGCGTACCTGATGGAGGCGGCATAGAAATTGCTGGCAGCTTTAATTTCGACTCCAGTTCCGTGAATTCTTTTCATCTCACAAACCAAAATTAAAGAATTCAAAAATGTATAGGCCTACACGTATGACTATTAAGCCATACATCCTGTCGCTGAGCCACTACCTGGGCTGATTTTAAGGCCACAAAACAAGACAGAATCTTAAAAAAATGTTTTAAAATTCAAAATATGCGGGAATCATTTCGGTTCTCGAATCCTTTTATCCTTTCGAATGAAGCCATTTCAGTCAATCCTGGATGTCCCCCCCAAGGAATGAGATTTGCACAGTACAGCGAAAAATAATGGGAAAAAATGCTGAAGCAGAAGATAATAAAGATGTCTGTTAAGAATGAATGATGGATACTGCCCCCGCAGTATAAGAGGGGGTGATTCGAGACCGAGTTCTCCAAAGAGGCGGTTAGGATACAGTTTATTCATTTTTCTTAATTTAGAAAATAAGTTTGTGTCAGTATTCAAAGTTTCTTGAAGTGGTTTGTCATGGAATAGAAATTTAGTCATTTCAGTGCTTCCGTCAAAATAATTTGGTGTAAGTACAGATTAAATTAGAGTTGGTTTACTTGCATCATGCAAAGATGTGAATTGTATCATTTGGCAGTCCAGCGACACGGTCAGTGCAGTCGAACGGTCAGTGACTTTCCGACACTGCTCCGGTAGGTTAGTTTAATGTGCATCGTTTTTGAACATTCACACTGCCCTAGAGATCAATACGGTCGATTCACAATAGTGCACCTCCAAGAGTTCGCAACGCGTTGACCAATGACAGTGTGCGAAATCTGTCGACTCTTTCCAAACCCGCATTGGGTCGACAGATTTCGCGCACTGTGATTGGTGAACGCGTTTCAAACTCCCTGAGGTGCACTGTTGTGAATCGCCCGTATTGTGACTGCTGGCGAAGTTGAAGGAATTATCTGATTTGTTCGCGTCTACGGTTGTCCAGTGTTGCCAAGCCGATATCTCCTAAAATGAGGCCGGTTCGGTATTCCGACAGCGCATACCCCAAATGAAGTGCGTCTGAGGTCATTCGGACACGCGTGCGAGGTCTACCCTATTAGTGCGTCCCTACGTGGACTCGCGCGCGTGCTTTGTTCCCGAACGACCTTGCTTTTTAGAGGCCCATTGAGTTAAATGTTTCAGAAGCTAGTCTGTACTTTATTGATGGTATTTGTACGTTTCAGGAAAGAAAAAGAGAGACCGAAAAAGAAAGAAAGAAAAAAGCCCAAATGACGCGGTCTGGTGATTATAATGCGCATTGTTTCGGCACGCCAATTGCTCCAACGGTGATGCATAGAAACATGGTCCTATCCATACTTGATCTGCATTAAATCGGAATCAATGGTTCTATTGTAAACAGCGCCACCTAGAGTCACAAGTTATCCCAGTGAAGTCCAACCTTTCCATTTCTGTGCAGGAATGACAAGGCCTGTTCTCAGCACGACTTGAATAATCCTTTTGAGAAGTAAATTTGAATGAAATCTAGAACAGTGATGAGTTCTTTAAATTTACGTGAAGTAACGATTTGAATTCTCCACACCAAAGCCACTGTTGCCTTAATTAATACCTCGTGGTTGGGGCAAGCTTTTCCTTGGTTACATAAGAGATGCCCTGCACCAATGCACTGTTTTCAGTGGATAAGAAGGGCACAAAGGAACCAGTCTACAGACGTATAAACATATAGACCACCAGTCGTGTGCATATAACTGTGATTTTTATAAGTGTGGGCAAGCAGTGGGCGGTGAACCGATGGATGCAGCAAGTAGATTGCAGATACATATACGTACATGTATTTATTTACGTGTGCTAATCTACGTTCCCTCTTTGGTACCGCACGCTATCTTTTCTTTTCAAAACTGTTTTGAATCCCCATGGGCCAGATAAAGTAAATAGGGGATTTTTTTTCACAATCGAAAAATGACTTCATAGAATCTTATGACTGGAATTGTTCAACTGTGCTCTATGCCGAGGGGTGAATTTGCCCACGCGCATTTGGATTTAGTCGGGTGCCATCTCGGCTATGGTGCCCCGTCGTTGTTTTGAACAGGAGCTGCCCGTTTATGGGCTTATATATCTGTGAATAAGTCCATTCCAGAGGTGGTGGTCACTATGCAAAAGCTTGCCCCAAATCAAGAGGTATAGTGTCTATCTTTGCAACTGAAATTGTTATGTTTATGTGCAATCAGATAACTCAGTGTACCAGACGTTATTCAAATTTAACTGGCAAAAGGCTTATTGAATTAATTTTCCAAAAGCCGACAATTTTCGAGGGAAGCCCTGAAACCAATAAGAGGGCTGACGTATTAAACTGTACTGTTTGCGTGTTTTTCAACAAATCCCTTTATCTTTTTGTTTGTGACTTCTGCATTTTTACATCTAAATATATTGATTAAGCAGTTTAGGTCATGAGGGGTTGAAATAAGCAATACATTGCCCTGTCGTGTGATTGTATTTAAAAATGATACTGTGAAATCGTATTCAAACCTACGATATCTAATATCGCAGTATTGGCGCAAATGTACATAGTGCGTCATCGCGTCGTGTGATTGGCCATTGGATCCTTTCATTGCCATACTACACAGTTTAATAATATAATTTATATGTCTTTCTTTTCGAAATGAACCAATAAAACTAAAAAAAAAATGGCTCTCAAAAGTCAGTTTTGACGATGAATGTCTCGTCAGCCCCCAACCAGCATAAAAATAGAGCCTACCTACATTTATGACTTTATGACTTTGTTGAAGTTAACCTGTGCCTAGCACGGTTGACACAAATTTTCAATCCCCGAGATAAATTTGGCTACACAGCACAGAGTTTTGAAATGTGTCTGTAGCTAGCTCCCCTCTCGCGAGGTTACGATATCACCTAATTAGATTTCACGCCTCCTTAGGTTCGCGCATGGCCCTGCCAAAGCGATTCTTTATACCTGCACGCCGAAAGTCGACAGAAATTTCAGTCACACATAGAGCGTCTCACTCACATTTAGAGCAAAGTATTATAATTACATTACAGCTGACAGACGCCTACGATCGAGCAGGGGGGATGAATGTCGTCCTCCTGCCGTTAATAATGGAAGGGACGCCGTCATACCAATTTGAAGGTTGAACTGCGTTAGGTGCAACCTGCTCCTGCAGTCATTACAACACTTAACGACTAAACATCATTTTCTTCTCTTCTCTTTTTGGGGAAATTTCTCTATGGGACTTTTTGTGACCTTTCCAAAGGGCGAGGTTAAATGCCGGGACGCTTGATACGCCCACATTTTATTAAAAAAACCCCCAAATTTGCCCCTACTAGGGCCGTAGCACCCGTTGGCCCCTCTGGATCCTCCAAGGAGCCAAGGACTGCCCGCCCTCCTTGAAATCTCTGCTGATTTCAATCTCAACATCTGACTGAAATCGGTGCAGAGACTTCATATGTTCTTCCGTGAATTCCAAGGACGATCGAACTGTTATATCTAACACTGCCGCCCTTCCAAATGCCCCATGCACTCAGAAAACCTTGAGATTTTAGGGCCAGGCCTTACGTCCTACAATATAGGGACATGTCCTGAGAATTGCATACAAAAGTGGTGTCAAACTGTGGACATGACATCAGTGTATACCTTAAAGGCGTGAAATGTAACAAAAAGGTAAAACGATACCGGAACAAAGGTATATCAAAACTTGTTAAACATAAAAAATTTAACAACTGCCCTTATGGGAGCAACAGCTGACTTGTAATTTACATTGTATGAAAATGATATCAGGACTGTTTGTGACAGTTGGAGTAATTCGAAGTCTTACCTGGGCTGTTCCACAGAACATGTAGACCATACAGCTGGTTGAAGGACAGCCTGGGAGTCTGTGCCTAGACAAGCTTTGTGTTTGGTACCCAGACGTTGACTTGTACGCTAGGTCTACGAGCAAAATCCAATAAAAGCAAATCCAATTCTAAGATGTATATATTTTGTCGTCTTGGTGCACAAGAAGAAATCGATCATAGAAAGGAATAACCCTTGGAGTTTGTTTCCCTTTTCTTTGTGAAAGGTTGCCATGGAAACTCATTATTGGAGCTTTCAAGCGAAAAGAAAACCCAAACATCGAAGAATCAGTTGGTTTTAGTATTCCTTAATTCCCTACACAGAATTATCATATACTCAGACGAAGGCGAGGCTCTACAAGCAGATCACACTCAGCCTCATGATATAAATGAATAAGATTTGCCTCACCATGTAAGTACCAATCCAAATGTCTGAAACGTGCTCGTTAGTCTCTCCTAAACGTACACAGAACTCCCCCCACACGGCCTCCTGGCCATGTGCGTGCAGAAAGCTGTTTTCACTGATGAAAAATGTTTCCCTGAAAGATCTGCAACTGATCTCCAACGAGATATTAAAGCCTAAGCCTGGCGCCATACTCTCACCCATGCAACATCTAATGTCATTGTCTGATCAAAGAAAGTGCCCTAAATCTCCAACATACTAAGCCCACGCGACTCGTACGGCATTTCAAATCTGAAATTCTACCACAACTAAAACACAACAGAAAAAAATGATCTCTTCACACCCCGGTTGACAAGTCTGCCGGGCACATCGGAGATCAATGATTTGCAGTAAAAGGGAGAAAAGCTACGGTCAGCGTCAAAGGTACAATTGCCTAATCGTCCATTATATTCTTGGCGTAATAAACTGGGCGATAAATAAGAACAGCCGCAGTGACTGAATCATCACTTTCAATGGAGCAATATCTGTCTATAGACTGCAGAGCGAGATGACGTTAAATTCATTCCAGTCGACGAATCCAAATGACAGTTCAGTCATTATCAGTCATCG